TACCACTGCCATCCAGTGTGTGAGCTTCAAGGTGCGTGCCAGGCTGCAGGGCACGTCCTGGGACGCCCCGACTAGCCAGCAGGAGCGCCCCGTGGGGGAGGTGAGTGACGTGTCCCTGCTCCCTGAAGATGCCTTGCCTGGGGCCTCCTGGCATCCTTCGAGACCTGCCATCCCACTGGGCATTTAACACACCCCAGAGGGTCCTCAGGACGTGAAGCATGTGGTGTGCTAAGGAAACCTAGGGGCCGCCAGCCCATTCCCGCAGACATGGGCTCCATGCTTTCGGTTTGGCTGTCACACACTCACGGGAACTTTGGGCAACACCGGGACTGCAGTTTCCTTCCCGATCTCTGCAGGGACACTTGTCCCGTAGGGAAGAGGCACCTGGGCTTCCAACAGTGGTGGTTCTGGGGTCCTGCCAGCCACTCTGTCAGGCTCACAGCCCGAGTCTCGACACCCCAGTGGAAAGGCGAGGCTCAGCACCCCCACGAGCCCCTCCTCGCCCTGCCTTCAGGTGCCCATGACAGAGTGGGAGCACTGTCCTGAGCACCCGCTCAGCCGGGCCTCCACATGTTGCCCACGGGGGAGGCCCTGTCCTGGCAGGCTCTCCAGGACACCCCTCCTCCCACCCGGCCACCCCTCAGGTGCCACCGCATCCTGGGAGTACAGTCTGGCCCGCCAACCCCAAGGCCCTCCATCTTTCCTGATGGCTTTCCTTCGTCCTACCTCCTGTTATTCCTGGCTGTGGTCAGCCTTCCTTGGGCCCTGACCCACAGGCCCCTGCTTTGCCCCTGGCCCTACGTGAGGCCAGACTGGCTTTGGTCCTGACCAGTGAGGCGCAGAGTTAGACAAGTGAGTTGCTCTCTCTGGACCCCGAGCCCCTGGACCTATAGGGGTGCAGAGTGGCCAGCAGTCGCTGTCGTTCTCGTCTGGAGCGACCCACTGAGTCACTCTGCCCCAGTGTACTGCTCCTGGGCTGTCAGTCCCCCAGGCAGCTCCTGCCCTGGGCTCCTCAGGGTGGGGGAGCCCTGACGTCTCCAGGGGCGAGGATGAATGAGTCCCATCTCCATTCCTGGAGGCCCGCGGGTGCACAGGGACCCTCCGGGCTGAGGACGTGCCAGGCAGTGTGCATCTGCGGCCCTGAGAAATGATGTCTTCATCTTGGGCATAGGTGGCTAGGAGCCCGAAGGAGTTCGACAAAGAGAAGGCCTGGAGGGCTGTCGTGGTGCAGATGGCCCAGTGACGCACACCGTCCCCACAGACCTGCCTGTCCTCTAACCGCCGCTTTCCTGTGAGCGTAGCCCGGGCCTCAGGATGTGCCGCACACCTGCTCATAGTTAGCCCGGAGCGCCCAGCGTCGATGACCTCCCAGCCTCCTGTCCTCACTGGCGGTCCCTCCCCATGCTGCCCAGCCTGCCCGTGTGCTCTGCCGACATGCCTGCCCCGAGCTTATGCAGCACCCCCTCCCTAACGGTCCCAGCGGCTCTGTCCATCCCAGGGCTCCAGGCCCTCAGCCCGTCAAGTCCCACACAACGCCACACCCACCCTGCCCTGCCTTCCCACATAAACCCTGTTCTTCCAGCAGGCCACCTCCTCCTGGGCCCTGGCTGACTCTCCAAGTGGCCTGTGTCCGGTCTGGAGCTTCGTACAGCCCGTCCGTGTTCTCAGGTGCAGCCGAGTCACAGGCTTTGCAAACTGCCTGGGCCCTGGCGGCCAGTAAGGCTGGGCCCTCCCTCGTCAGTGGTTGGGCTTGCTGGCCAGGCCTGAATGCCCTCTGCCAGGCGTCTCCCAGTCCTGCCCGCCTCCCACAAGCCATCCACTCGTCCCTGGCTTGCCCGAGGTCTGGCCTGGCTGAGGTCTCTTCTGTCTCCGGTGTGGTGGGGTCCTGGGGTACTTCCTCATCCCCACACGGCCCAGGCTGCATGGACCCTGTGGGCACAAGGGGGACACGGCAGAGGCTGCCCTCTCGCCAGCTCCTCCCCGTGGACACCCGGACTCTCCCATCTGCGTTGCTAAGTGCTATGGGAGCCGCTTGCTGCTGGGGCTTCCCTTGCCAAGACTGCCTGGCGGAGCAGTCTCATCGCTTTTCTTCTGGACGCAGCGATAAGACACTGGGGTCTGCTCTTTACTAAGTTGGGGTGTATCCACCAGCTCCCCTGTGGGCTGTCAGAAAGGACTAGAGAAGCATTTTGTGGGCCAGGGACGTGATCAAAGTGCCAATAGCCCCAGGAGATAGATGCCTGGGTGTAGATGAAGGGGATGCAAGGACACCATGAGGGGTCAGCAGGCAGGTGGTTCAATCACCTCCCAAACAAGTGATGTGTAGAAGGCAGCATGCACCTGCACACATGCCCTACACATGCACCCACACACACGCCTCCACATGCACCCGGACTCATGCACCTGCACACCCACACCTGCACATGCACACACACATGCATTCACACACTTGCACACCCTCGCCTGCACACGCACACACGCATTCACACACCTGCACATGCACACACATGCATTCACACACCTATACACCTGCACACCCACACATGCACATGCACCTACGCCTGAGCACATGCCCTGCACATGCACACATCCACATACGCAACTGCACATGCACTTCCACACCTGCACACCCATGCCTGCACACCCACACCTGCACCCACATCTGCATACCTGCACACGTGCTCTGCACACATACACACCTGCGCATACATCTGCACTTACACCCACACCTGCACACACGCACCTGCACACACACTCACACACAGACCCAGTCCAGCTTTTCTGGGCTTCCAGGTGAGGAGGGCAGGTGGGGTCTGTCTCCTCCCTGCTCCGGGGAGTGGGTACGAGCCATGGGCGGCGCTGGGCAGAGAGGGGAGGCCAGGGAGTTCAAGTTTTAGAGCTTGAATTGGGCAGCTGGAGGTCAGTACCAGCTTGCACTTCCTTTTGTTTGGGAGAGCCCAAAACCAGACAAATGAGGTTTTAAAAAAGTCCTGTTTGCTTTGCACTTTGGTTGATGTAGTTTAATATGCTTGAACAGTAAATGCTAACATGAAAGTGTGGTCTCTGGCCTATTTGATGTTGGTGGGGGGGGATCTGTATGCTCAGGTTCTCAAAAAAGTGCAGGAGTAGCGTAGTGGGCAGAGGGAGGTGAGGGCCCCTCTCTACTCATCCACTCATTACACCCTGCAGGCTTGGAGTGGGCCCAGGGCCCCACAGTCCTCTTCCAGTGAAAACAGGAGAGGGCCGGGGAAGACATGACTGCCCACCACTCAGGGTTCCCAAAAGCTACTCCTTGGGAGTTAAAGGGAAAATGAAGGTCTGAAACCAAAAGTGGCATACCAGTCTGGAAGACGCCCAGAAGTGGAGGCTGTGACAGCGGCAGCAGAGCGGTGGGTAGTCCACTCCCCCTGCAGGTGCCAGGTCTGAGAGGTGGACAAGAAGGCAGTGCTGCCCTGAGAGGCTGGGCTCTGGGTCTTCCCCACAGATGACTTTGGTATGGCTGCTCTAGCCACCGGCAGGCCGGTCCCCAGTCCGCCAGAGGACACTCAGTGCTCAGCCCTCGGGGAGGTCTGGCCCTCACCGCATCCCCACCCAGCTCCAGGAGGGCTGCATCAAGCTGGGGAAGGGGTTAGGGGACGACTTGTGGGGCCAAGAGGAACCCCGGTGGGGGAGGGAGGGCCTGGGCAGTTGACTAGGGGACAGGGTGTGACTACGGGTCTTTGTGACTTGGCAGGGCCCGGTGCCAGGGCGGGTCCGTATGACCTGGGCTCCTCGGTATGGAGCAGAGCGCGTGACCCGGGGCGGGG